GCCCCATGCCTGCTATCAAGTAAATTTTGGTCAGTAAAATATTATTGAACACACAAATACCAATTGTAAGAAGGTAACTATGGTTTTGTCTCATGGAAGTCCTATTTATTTGACTGGCATTTCTTTTTTATGTTGTTCCCTTTACCAGGAGAAAAGCCACCTTACAAACAACAGCTAGCCTAATTAGACATTAATGGAGGTACCAGTTATATAAAGAACAGCAAAAACAGTTTTGAGAGCTCATTATAGATAAAAAGATGCTCTCATATAACTTTCATTCGTGACTTAAGGCAACTGAGATTCAGAGAGGTGAAGCTATTTTGAGCTAGCCCCAAACCCTGTAGCCTCCCACTGTGCCCCGTGGCCGCACTGCTTTTGACTGGATTTTGGGAATAGCACAGCATGTAATGCTTCCCTTTGTTGTAGTCTGCTGTTTACAGCCCCTCTGCTGCCACCTGCTTCCACAGAGCATGCCAGAGGGCTTGGTCTTCAGGCCTGCTCCCTTCTGTTTAAAGTCAAGGCCCTGACCACATACCTGAGTCAGAATTACCTGTCCTTTTCTTGTTCTTGCCCTTAGCACATTCTTACTGTGGGAATGAAGCCTGAGGAAATAATTCAAAGTATTTATGGCTGAAACAGGGTGCCTCAATGCAGTCTGCTAACCCTGACTTGGGCTTCTGAGGCGAGAAAAGTTTTCCCTTTTCTTTTGACCATTTTCTTAAGTCATTAAAAAGCTACAGGCTGCAAATTCAAAATGATTTTCAATTTAATTATAAAAAATAATTTCAGTCTTTTATAAGAAAAATACATATTTATGGGATCTCCACTGATCTGTGTTTAGTTTCTATAGACATTAGGCACTTGCAATTTTAGTTGTTTCTTTAAAGAGTTATTTTTGAATTAATTTTAGATAATTTATTTGTCCAATCTATGTTCAACAAGTTACAGTTTCATAGAGAATACTGTTAGTCATTCTTACATTTACTTTCAGAGAACTCAGGATGTAAGCTTGATATTGGCCCTGCCTAGGCAATGATTTGAAATTTGCTATAGTTCTTGAATTCTTTTAAACTTTTATTTAGCATTTTAAAGAAATTAAACAAATAATGTATTTTCATTTTATAAGAATTAAGAAATAAAATAAAAAATCTTAAGACCTGTCATTCAGATAAACATTTTTGTCAATATTTAGTGTTTATTCTTTCAGACTTTGTTTTATGCCTGCATAGACCTATAAATTTAAAAAATTTTCAAGGAGATCATAGAACATAATGCTGTTTTATAATCTGGCTTTTTCACCAAGTGGCTTCTCACCATTTTACCCCCATACAGCAATAAGTTTTTATGGTACATAGTTTTCCATAGTATGGATGAATGCAAGTTTATTTACCTAACCCTCTAGTATGAAACATATATATTGTTTGTTTTTCCTACTTTAATCTTGTTATAAATATTTTTGTGCTTCTGTTTTTGTGGACTTCGCTGGTTTTTCCTTAGGGGACTGTAAAAATGATATTGTCAGAAAGTTTTTCACATTTTAAGATTTTTGGTGTTTATCTGTGCCATAATTTTAAAAGCACACATTCTAACGGAAACATGATAAATCTGCCCTCTTGGTTTTCTAGGACAGTAAATTCTGTAGGTTCCTAGGAGAATATATGGCCCTGGGGACTGTGGGATGCCTGAGCAGTGTTTCTAGCGGTTAGATTTTTCCCAGAACACCATAAACATTCTGGGCTTTCAGATTCCAAGATTTGGAGGTGTGAGGTGGAAGCCACCTAAATAGCTGGTAGATAATTCTGTGGAAGAGACACGCTTTATCATTTTATATTTACCGGATGTGTAGCAGTGAACCTTGAAAATGCTTCCAGGTGAAATAGGGTCTGCTTTCTTTTCTCTTCTGATTATTATACTGGCTGCTGACCTTTCAGGTGAATAAGTACCAAAGCAATTTCAGAAGACAAGTCTTTTACTGATTAGTGGTTATAAAGATTTCACAGGGATAGTATTTTCAGTGTTCCAAAGTCATTTCATTGGTCAGGTCTGCTTCAGTGAAATCAACAAGGCTAGTTTATCTTTGCAAAGACTTGTGACAACAAGCTCATAACAACACTCCCTGAGGAGCGCAGTTCACAGTTAAGATTTTGCTTTAGGCAGCTTTGTGCAGCTTTATGGTGTGGGCCTTTCAGATTCTAGATATGAAACTGGTTTGACATTAATTCCTAGCATTACAGCTTTTTAGATATTCGCTTAGCATAAGTCATAAGTCAGATGTCTGCAGAGCTAGCACCATGCTCAGCATTCTAATTAATTACTCTCCCTTTATGTGCTTCTTTCTCCGTGCCTCCTGATTCATACAATAGAGCCATTATACCTAGGCAGTCATAAACATTTATTGGTTAGATTTGTATTTAATGAAATTAAGACTCGTCAATAGTTAACTGAAAATCAAACCAAGGGAACTTACAGTTAGTGAAGCACTGAGTTGAAGAACTGGGAAGAGGTGAAGTTCTTCAAATAAAGCACAAAGGATCTTATCTGTGTATTATCCTCCTAATCTTTGACTTATGTTTTAGAATGTTCCATTCAAAGCCTCAGTTTGAGGATAATATTTAGATGCTCTCTTCTATGTTGTATAACTTCAGGTAATTTAGAAACATTTATATTTCTAAATCTGTTTATTTGTATATAAACCTTTTATGCACTTTATCTCTATAATCTAATATAGATTTAGATTGATAATGATCAAAAAATTTTTTTTTCTTTCAGAAAGGTAATAGTATTCTGGCTTAACATAATGATGTATTTACTAACTGGAAAGATTGTTAAATTTGAAATTATACTCACTAAATTATGGAAATGTGTACTACTGTTCTAGTAAAGGTATGTGACACTACAGATAAAATTTCAAAAGGAGCTGTGGAGAGAAACTTGTTCAGGAACTTGTCGCTCAATGAAATTGATGTCTATAGTAGTTCTCTTTTGGTGACCTAGGTGAAAAAAGGTGTTGGGATTTATTGCCCCACGTAACTAGAGCCTCTCAAGGGGAGAAGGGAAGACTCCATGTGCTCCAGTGATGTCGAGGCATGGTCCCTTCATTAGGAGTCCGACTTGTTTCTGCTGCTCTTCCATTGGTCTCATTTCTTGCCACAGTGAGGTTTTCTCCAAATGGCTGCCCCAAGATGATGTTCTTCCAGCTTCCATTTATCAAATCTCCCCGGAGGACTCTTGCTTGGGTCATCCCTCAGTCCTGTAGGTAGACTGTATTTGGTCATGCCTGAGTCATGGATAGGGATCAGGCAGGAGGACACCGTGATCCTTAGTCCTAACAGAACCACATGGGATGAGAGGTTTCCAGATAGATAAAGACAACAAATGTCATTTTTAACATCTTGAACTGGCAGTTAAAAAGTTTTTGATTGTGGTAAAATTTATAACATAAAATTTACCGTCTTGACCATTTTTAAGTTAAAATTCAGTAGTGCTAAGCATATTCATGTTATGGTGCAACCTATCGCCAGAACTTTTTTCATCTTGCACAATTGAATTCTTTACTCATTAAACACCCCTCTGTCCCCCATTCTCTCTTCCTCCCAGCCCCTGACAACCACATTCCACTTTCTATGAATTTGACTATTCTAGATACCTCATATAAGTGGAATCATACAGTGTCCTTTTGCAATTGACTGATTTCACTTAGCATAACGTTCTCAGGGTTCATCTATATTATAGTGTGTATCAGAATTTCCTTCCTTTTTAAGGCCGAATAACATAACATTCCATGGAACTTATATACCACATTTTGTTTATTCATTCATCTGTTGCTTTCACCTTTTGGCTATTGTGAACGACACTGCTGTGAACATGGATGTACAAAAATCTCTTTGAGACTTTGATTTCAGTTGTTAGTGAACTGGTGGTTTTTTAGATAACTCTAACTCAAACAGGTCTAAAACCACGTTCATCTTTTCCCTCAAGAAATGTCCTGTATGGTAACCTTCCTCTCATATCACCTTCACTGGTTACCAAAGCCAGATCTGGGGGCTTGTTTTTACTCATCTCTTGTGGACTGTAGCATCCTCCTCTTGGAATAAGAGAATATAAGTAATTAAATACATGAGATTACAAATTATTCACTGATTTACTAGAGATGAGCTGTCCTCTAGTTCATCTTCAGTTGCTGCAGACTGGAAATGCTACTTGGGGAGTATTGTATGGGCAGTGGAGTTAGGACACTTTTCTGTGGGAAAGGTATTTAACTTCTCTATCTCAGTTTACTCATCTGTAAAATGAGGATATTAATAGTACCTGCTTCATAGGGTTGTTATGAGAATTGAGTTCTTATATTTAAAGCATTTCAACAGTGACTGGTATATATAAGTGCCCAATAAATGTTAGTTGCTATTTCTTTTCTCCCT